TTTTTATTTGAATTTTTTGGTTAGATTTGGCCATAGAATTCGAAAATTCTCAGGAAAAAAGCAACAGAAGTATTTCTGCACTCTAGTTCTGAATAAATGATAACATTCTGCACAATCCTTATTACTCAAACTATATGAGAAGAGCATATTCGTCAAAATCAGTCCTTTAACTTTTTGCTACTATTGTAGGTACTAAACATTCTTAAGTTTATCAAACAATCGGACAATGTTATACGCGCAGCGCTTCTCTCGCTGCTGAATTTTTTCTCATTATTAGAGCGCTACGTTATCCTGACAGATCAATACATGTGTAAGATAAGAAAATTAGATAATCTTTGAATATCTAATTTTGTTATTGTTCACATATAATATCGCAGCGAGTTTGATCGAAATATACATACGTTAACGGGATAAATGGATTTCAGAGATTTATCCGAAGATTTAACCATTATGATTTTGATGCCTACAAGAACGTAAATATAAAAAATCGTACTCATTCTTCATAATAGAAGATAGAAGATGGGATAAATGGTATTCAGAGATTTATCCGAAGATTAACCGTTATGATTTCAATACTTACAAGGATATACATATAAAAAATTGTACTCATTCTCTATGATAGAATTACACGAAAATTACTATAAAATATTATTCCTCTTTATATACGCTGTATCAATTACAATTCTTGATGCCTATGTAAAGAGGAATAACATTTCATAATAATTTTCGTGTAATTCTATCATCGAGAATGAGTATAATTTTTTATATTTATATCCTTGTAAGTATCAAAATCATAACGGTTAATCTTCGGATAAATCTCTGAATACCATTTATCCCATTAATATATTTATATTTTGATCAGACTCGCTATGATATATATGTGAACGATATAAGAAAGTTAGATACTTGAAAATTATATATATGTATTGATCTATGGAAAATTAATAAATACGTCGGCATTTACGCCACCGAGACATGTATACTCAAGAAACGTAATATATAAATAACATTATAATTAGGAAAAATGATGGGTAACAAAATTAATGAGATAAATGAACGACAGAAAGGATAATATGAATGATAAAAATAACAAACGAAATCATACAACTACAGTCAACGACGATGATTAAATTTGGCAATTAACATCACGAGAATAAATGTTTGCCTTTTTCGAAATTTTGCCGCCAAATTCCTTTCTACGCGTCTGAAATTCCTTTGTTCGTAATTTCTCAAATCTTGCAAACATAAAAGTAAAATTAATTTGAAAAATATTCTTTGATGATAATATATTTGATACGTTTGAAGCTTAACGGAATGGCACATATGCGCAAACGCTGGTCCACACGAGCGTTTATTTAACGAGAAATGTACGCCAGCGTAAATCGCGGCATGATTCTTTGCCGTGTTAGATTTCCACGATAATCGAGTCGCGTATAATGTGAATGCGAAACAACTCGGATTCCGAGTTACTCACAATCAGATGAATTCCTGCATCTTGTTATCTTTGATAAACGTGCAAAGAAAAAAGAGGTGGCGGTCTAAAATCCTAAAAATTCTTCTAAGATCCACGATATTAAGTTATTAATCCGCTCGGCGGAAAATGTTAGTCCGACAACCGTCCGCGGGATATTAAACCGCAGAATTCAAAAGTTTCTTAACGCGCCGCAGTCGGTTTTATGAAGCCGCGTTGTAATATTTGCGAAAACGGATTTCCGCCTTCGTTTTATTAATTTACCGCGAGAAGTTATAAAATATCAGTCGTTATACCCTCATGAGGTCGTAACGTTTTCTTTTACGGCCGAACTTACAAGCTCGTATGAACACGAAGGACTATCAAGTTCGATTTAAGGCCAGCTCGGATAAAATATATATAAAAGTTCATAAATTTTGTAAATAGCAGGACGAATTTTATTCTTCATCTGACAAAAATGACGGAAATAATGAGATAGGAGAGATGAATATATATCTGATGTAAATAAATCACATTAAACAAAGTATAACCTTCATAGACGCGGGACATATTGCGCAAAAAATTTGCCTTCAACCTCTTTCCCAGAAAGAAATCGGAGAAATGGTCGTATATAGACGTTAATTCGATAATATTTATAGGCATCCATTCGACGTCAATTCGACGTCGAATCGATTGCACCTATATAGACCGATCATTTCTCCCTGGATTTAGACGCAATGCCTTTATAAAACTTTCTACTAGCGGCATTTACGATTAGACAGTCATGCATAAAAATCGCTTTTTTCTACTAACGTAAGTTCCGCGTCTGGAGCAATTAGGTCCGAGGCGACCGTGTTCCTTTCGTAATTAACTTCGGGTGCAAACGTTTCGGCGGGCGAGCGCGACATCGCGCATTCGCACGCAACTGACGCAGCCGGCAGCACGCTGACGACGATACGCAGCTACGAGAGACGATCGCGCGATTCATGCGGGCAGCCAATGACCTATACAGTTTACACCGAGCACTTAATACGAGTATTAACTAGAAACTTTCTATTAAATTATCTTAATTTCTACGATGCATTTAATGGTGTACTAAGCTGATAAACTATGCATTAAGATGATTAATTAAAATAGATATATCATGTATATATTATGCATCGTCGAAATTAAACTTAATAGAAAGTTACCAGTTAGTACACGTATCAAATCCTCGGTGTAAACTAGGCCAATCAGCTCTCCGACAAGAAGGGTTGATCGCCGCGCGTTTTACCATATTTCCCTAGCGTTCCACCGCGGTCCTCCCCCTCCCCCGCCGCCGTGCGCGAATCGCATTCAAATCCACCAATGCGAATCGTCCGCAACGATTGAAGCAGCTGTTGGCGCTGCTTGGCGGTACGCTGGTTTTGCGTGTCGTTGATACAAATTTCTCGACGTTCTTCACCACGAGTTGCGCAACAGTCGCGAGATCCGGAGCACCGTAACTTTTGGCGCCAACGGAGTAAAGGACGGCATATATTCGCGATCCGCGGGAAACAGCAGAAAAAGTGAGTACGCGTGTAAACGCCGACGTTAAATGCGCCCGCCGTGACGCGGGTGACAGTCATGATAAGCGTTTTACGAGCACGTTCGCGAACCTAACCTGAAAATGTTGCAGTGCCACCACGGAAACCTGCGAAGCGGACGGCCGAGGACCCCACGCAAGCGGAGAAGGCGCCGAAGCAGATCAAGAAGAAGTCAGGTAAGGGAGCTGGCGATTTTTCGTTCTACTCCGAAAATATTCCTTCCCTCGTTATCGGCGTTGAATAATTGTGACCCATGCTACTCTCGAGTGCTCCAAGAGAACATATTTTGTATGTAAGAAGATATATTATTTTTCAATCTCTCTTCCGTCAGGCAGTCCTAAAAGCAATTTATATCAATTCGTCGAAAATTCTTTAAGAACGACTTTAATTTCAATAAATTAATTTCCGACGAATTGATATAAAATGCTTTTCTATCAGGAGATTCGTTGACGCAAGTTTAACTTGCACACATTTATCTTGTGCAGGATTGAGCGTAAAACCCGATCTGCGATCACTTTCAATCGGTGGCGTTATGCTCGTGTTCGGGCAAGGCGATTTCGGACAGCTCGGCCTAGGGGAAGTCACCGAGAAAATGCGTCCAGCGGCGATATCTGATTACCAAGACGTTGTGGCCGTAGCCGCTGGCGCCATGCATAATGTATGCTTGAGAAAGACGGGAGAGGTATTGACTTTCGGATGCAATGACGAGGGGGCGGTTGGACGGGACACTACCAAGGAAGGGTCCGAGACAGTACCGGGCGTAGTTGAATTACCTGGTAAAGCCATTCAGGTGACAGCCGGAGATTCGCATACCGCCGCATTGTTAGACGATGGCCGAGTATTTGCCTGGGGCACATTTAGGGTATATATATCTCTTCTGTCAATTTTTCTTTTATAATCATTACTTTATAAATTATGAGAAAACCTTATTTACACGTGATATATAAATCGATTTGTAAATAGGATACACATGGCTCTATGGGGCTAACGTTGAAGGGAAATGAGCCATTCCCTATAGAAATATTACCTGATGCAAAAGTTGTCAAAATAGCATCGGGTAATGATCATTTAGTGTTACTTAGTGAAAAAGGACGTGTATATACCTGCGGAAGCGGTGAACAAGGACAACTAGGACGAGTAGCTGCGCGTACAGCCAGCAGAAATACACGACAAGGAATTGGTCTGCTGCTAACTCCGGGAGTAGTTGAATTTAAAATCAGGAAGAAGTTGTATTTTGACGACATATGGGCGGGAAATTTCTCCACTTTTGCCAAGGAACATGAAAAAGGAGACATATACGTGTTCGGTCTGAATAATTTTCATCAAATTGGTAAGACAGGTCTATTTTCAAAGATGTATTATTCCGTTTCAAGTCTTTTCCTCATGCGTTTGTTGAAAAATATTCTAGGCTTGAAGGACAACGAAATCCACTTTCATCCACAAATGTCAAAGACCTTTAGCGGCAAAGTATGGAGACATATCAGCAGTGGAGAACATCACACCATAGCCCTGGATGATGGGGGACAAGTCTTTGTGATGGGTCGCAAGGAATACGGTCGCCTCGGGCTCGGACCTAATTGCTCAGACGCGGAAGAACTTACGTTAGTTCCTGCTCTAACTTCTACTAAATGTGTCGACATAGGAGCGGGTAGCAGAGAATCTTTTGCGGTCACAGAATCTGGTAAGCAAACACAATATATTAATTATTATTATTAATATATTAAATATTGTATATATTGTGTATAATATAATTATATATATTTTGTATTAATTATCGTGTATATTGTGTAGCACATTAACTACTCCTGTAAATAATCTACTTTTAAAGTAAAGATTCTACTTTTTATTGCGATAGGCGATTTATATTCATGGGGTAACGGAACTAATGGAAACCTTGGAACGGGAGATGTGAAGGATGTCGAGGAGCCAGTATTAGTTAAGGGAAAGCAGCTGGAGGGTAAGACGGTAGTGCGAGTCAGCGGCGGCGGCCAACACACTTTGGCTCTGGCAACGATTCGTCCGGTCAAAGATAAAACTGCTGGTTAATACTGAGCATTATATCTCGAGACGATGTGTATGTGATATGAATTTAGACAAGAACGAGAAAAGGCCACACTTTACTCCTACTACTTTATTCCTTAACATCGGCGATGTTACCTTGCCAAACAGAAGTGTAAGAAATCTTCCATTAAGTCTTCGATTTTGTTTCGAATCCATAACATTTAAATTTGTACATACTCTGTCGCATTGCCATTAATTCATTCATTATCCTTACAATAATTAATATATTGTGTTCTTGTTGTGTCGTTAGCATTATTACTACTTATTATGTTTCGTCAGAAATTTTTCTACTTTCACACGTTTGTGTCTCAAAGTATACATGGAATAAAATACTTTAAATGGACAAAAGATTATATTTTGAATAATCAATAAAACTTGTTAAATGTGAAATAAGTGTGATAGTGTCTTAGCCAAATCATTATGCCATTTAAATTAAATGAAAACTTAGGTAATGTTAAAACTTAGTTATGTATCCATTACTTGCATTTAAAATTGTGTTGTATAAAATCTTGGAAAATAAACTATTTGTAAATGTGATTCATTTACAATAATCTACATTACAGTCCCAAAGCGCAGATGAATGTCTCTTCGAGACAAGTTTAATCAATTTATAAACTTTGGTAAAATTACAAAACAAACAAATAACAAAATAACGAAGAATGCATTAAGGAAAAGATATTGCAATTATAAATATTTGACAAATTGAAAAATTAAAATTTTGTAACATGTCATAACGTTCAGTTTATTTATAAATTGAAATACAGAATGGTACTACAATGTCATTAACTTAGGTTACGAACCCTTCTAAAACTGTCATAACTGAAGGCGGACTGAAGACAACAGATTATAAGTCGAGATCTTGTAAAATGCAAAACTAATGGTAATAGATTTAACTTGTCTTTGGTTGCTCCGCGAGTTTTGCTTCTTGCATCGAAATCTGCGTAAGTTTCTTGCCGATACGTTCGTGAACGTCTAAATATTTAGCGATACAACGATCCAGACATATCGATTCCCCCTTGCCCAGTTCACTCTCGGTGTACTTTGGTGCTATACACTTCCTGTGGCATGCGGATGTCATGCGATTGTACATGTCCGACATCATTTCTATTTCTAAATCCTGCACCAGCTTCATCTTATCCTCGTCCAATTGCGGTAACGCTGCCATTCCTCCGACTTTGTACTCTCCAGTTGCGCTTTCTCTCCCCTTAAAGAAACCTCTCACTCCGTAACAGGCTAATCTACAATATTGCTGTCGCGCAATCGTTGTCTAGCTTTCATAATCTCGTATCTCCTGGCGTTCACGCTTCTCTTGGACAGCACAAACCCGTAAATTCCTAGGACAGTGGCTACGGACCTACAAAAAATGTAAATATATCGTTCTACAATAAAGTGTACAATAACATTTTTTTTTTTAAATAAAACTAACGAGCGCGAAATCTGGAATTTTCGATCTATACGACTGTCAGAAATATAAACGTTCGAAATATACACGTATCGTGGACATGATAATTATCGGAGTTTTTAGGTTAACACTAACGTGACATGCAAAAATCAGAGATACAATCGGCGGAAGCTCTTTTCGAGATACCATGCACACCTACCATCCAATTCCTACCTTGGCCCAAGTTGGCAGAGCCATGTTTCTATTTAATCGTAACGATATCCCATTTACAAGCTAAAAAATTTCATGTACCTGAACGTGTACACCACGCAACCGCCGGCAATAGTTTTCTAACCTCTATGGACTCTCGATACAAACGCCTCATGTCGTGATATTACATAATATTTATTTTCTCATTTATAAACAAATAGTTTTGCGCGATAACTCGCGCTTCATGTGAAAGTATGTACGTCGAAACGGGATAATGATTTTTTTTTTAAATCAAGTTTTTTAGGGTTCTTTCTCAAGCTTACGAATTCGTGATTATATCGTTGTCAAAAGACGCGCTTAAAATTGTCGGAAGAAACTTCCTAGTTCCTATTTCCGGCAGAGAGAAGCATAAAATAAAAGATAAAGAAATAAAGAAAAAAAACGAAAATAATAAAATAAAAAATTATATTATATTATCATAATATATAATATATATATATATAATTTAATTAATATTTTATTTTTAATTTATATTTTAAAATTATATTATTTATCTATAATTATTATTTCCTAATTATTTTATTATTATTATTATTTAATGCTTCTCTCTGCTTCCGGATTTGTCGCCCGGAGAGGATTGAATTCCCCGCATTGCCGCTATCTAGGGGATAAAAATGATCGATCGTACGATACTGACGGCACTGACCAGTCCACTCTTGGCGTATGTAACCTAACCTAACCTAATTTGCATTGTCGTGCTGGATGTGCGAGCGAGACGATCGCAGCAGAGATCGCGGTGAATAGCGCGTCGAAGCGAGATAAGCGAAGGTAAATTTTGCTGTCGACGTATTATCTCGATAAATGTAAGATCTCGAGCAGTCCCTGCGAAAACCGTACGCGTATCAGATCTGTATACGGTTTTGAGGCCGCGTCATTTCGTCTTCGCGAAACTCTCATTGTGACTGAATACCGAGGTGCGGAGCAACGTGTTGCTCGTCGTTTGCAGTGTCATTCGCGACGTTTCAGAACGCACACATTACTCGGTGGCTGCTGAAAGGACAAACTGGGACTGGGAGGACAGGATATCGTAAGGATTCTGCACTGATTTCGAACAGGAGAAAACGTGTGAAGAAGGAAGCGTGTTGCTCGTCGTTTGCAGTGTCATTCGCGACGTTTCAGAACGCACACATTACTCGGTGGCTGCTGAAAGGACAAACTGGGACTGGGAGGACAGGATATCGTAAGGATTCTGCACTGATTTCGAACAGGAGAAAACGTGTGAAGAAGGAAGCGTGTTGCTCGTCGTTTGCAGTGTCATTCGCGACGTTTCAGAACGCACATGTTACTCGTGGCTCCTGAAAGGACAAGCAGGGACTGGGAGGACAGAATATCGTAAGATTCGTAAGGATTCTGTACTGATTTCGAATAGGAGAGAACAAGTGAAGAAGGGAACGTGTGCCAGTAGTACGAGACAACGCGACGTGCAACGTGAGGAAAATGTCTTTTCAACAGTGGCTGCACATACGGCACAACATCGACATACCGTGGAAGGCTTTCGTGAGGGAGTCGTCCAGCGTGCAGGATAAATCCCCGGAGAGATGCATTTGTCAGTTGACCTTCCAAGGAAACGAAGCGAGGGCTGCCTACGAAGAGGTCATTCACCAAACCGGTAACGGCAATACTCCGCCGGCAAGGCTGAAGCATTCGAGGTCAAAAGCCACTGGGAATCAAGGCATTTCCGGCACAAATCCGACCTCCGTTGTACAAACGAAGAAGAGCACACTTTCCGACGATATTCTAGCAAAAGTCACAACCAATACGTTGTTGAAAGCAGTGGAGCAGAAGGACCTGAAGTTCCTGCAAAAACACATGACAACAGAAAATGTGAATGTGTCGGATGACTTTGGTTGGACCCCGCTAATGTCCGCCGCTTACTGCGGCCACCTGGAGATCGTGCAGTTCTTGCTAAATCTCGGGGCTAACAAAAGAACTAGGGATAAGTCTGGTCTTACCGCGGCGCAATTAGCTTTGAAAAGAAATTATTTGAGTATAGTGGCGCTGTTGAGAAAGAAGTCCGACTCGATAAGCGGTATCAGTCAGTTGTCCGCGAATATTTCAAATATAAATACTACAAGTGTAAATAATACAAATGCTTTAGCGGTAAGGTCAATGACTGTAGAATCTTCGGCGGAACACAATAAAGACAATTTGATGGAAGAGAAGACACGACTGAAGCAGAACGCGGCGTTTTACTGCGAAGTCTGCAAAGCAACCTTTCAAGAAACAACGCCGCAGCAACATGAAAGTTCAACTCTGCACATCTTTAACACAAAGCCGAAATTGAAATATACAATGTATGCAATATCGAGGCAAAATAAAGGATACAAAATGCTTCTCAATACGGGATGGGACGAAGAGGCTGGCCTTGGTCCTTCCGGGAAAGGAATAAAATATCCAATCAAAACATGTTTGAAAATGGATCGCAAAGGATTGGGACAATTAATGGAAAATGAATATAAGATTACCCACTTTAAGCCGGGCGATACAACTGCTATTAACAGCTATAAAGTACCCAAGCAGAAACCTCTGAAGAAAAGGGATAGGGAAAGACTACTTCACAGAGAGGCTAGGAAAGAAAGAGCTTTGCGTATAGCATTATCTTAAAATAAATATAGATAATTCTAATTTTGAATGTGATATTTATTTTAAGATTGAATGTAATGAAAATAACTTAACTGTTCTTATATACTTATGCTTGTAAGTTTATTCTCAATCTTCTCTTCATTATAAGATAATTCATATTAACTATTTTTTTCCTTTTCTGTGATATTAATGAAATCTTTTATTTTATGATTATCAATAATTATAATTATTTGGTAATCAATAAAAGTTTTAAAAACACAGAAATCAGTTTATTTCACTAAACTGTAACATGAATAAAAACCTTTTGCAATAAATATAAGTACATACACAAAAAATGATAACGTAAATTTATTAATGTGTTACAGATGGCAAATGAGCATCAGAGATTATTGGAACACTTAGAAAAAGTTGAAAACAAAGCTGGTGAAATTCTTACTGATCGCGAGGAAATAGTCGCTCTAGACAAGAGAAGAAATGATGATCGGGTTGGAATGAGAGCACTTCAAAAACAGTCGCATGAAAAAACATGGATAACAGTAGGACCGTTGCTTTTAAAGATGCCATCTAAAGCGGCTGAAGAACTACTTGAGAAAGGTAATGTCACTTAAATAGGCACAAGAAACTCATTTACATTCTCTAATTTTTGTGTTTTCTTATTATTGTTATATTACAGATCAGCAAGAATGTGGTACTGCCATTAATAAGCTAAGAAGCGACTTAAAGGTAAAAGTAAATGAATTACGTGATTTAGAGTTAACTCCACCTGTACCTGGATTAATGTTAGAACCTATGTCTCGCAAAGAGATGAATGCAATCGGGCAAATCTTCGGTCGAAGTGTCTAATATTTAATATAAAGTTTTTTTGTTCAATACAGTGTAATTAGAAATAGCATAAATGTATGAGCTTAAAATATTTAAATCTAATTACAAACTTTTGTATAAAATATAAAATAATTATATCTAAAAAGTTATTATTTCTCACAAGCATTTATTTCAAAATAAATCATATTCGTCACTTCAATGAATGAGGAGTAAAATAATGTTTTTTCTTTTAACATTTTTAAAATTTGGTTAGTCACTTATAGTAAGATCAATATCAATTGATCTTACTGTACATATTAATGCGCACTGAATCTATACTATAAATAAATATTATATGTACTATAAATGTTATGGTGACTGAAAATTGTTATGGTGACATAAAATTAAAAGACTTAAAAGAAAATGTCACAAAATATAAAATACGTGTATAAATTTACGCATTGTCTTTAACATAGTTTTTTACATTCATATTTGCATGTGTCTCTAGTATCTTTCTCTATATGAAAACATCTCTTTAGTATTTACTGAGAACGCCTCCTATATTTTTATTAACAAACTATGATTTCAAAAAGAAATATTGTTATCAGGAGCTTCTTCGCTATAATATTCTTAATTTGTGGTTCCCAGTGAAATTTGTACATGCACTTATTACAATTTTTTTTTGACATCGTGTAGGGAATATCTTTCAGAATATTTTGTATTTGTCTGTATCACAAGATTCCTGCAATATAAATAATTTCGTATTAATGTATCCCTAAATCTCTTGCATAACTTTTTAAGTAATTTTATTTTCCTTTTGATAATTTTAGCAAATCATGCGTATATTCTTTTATCGTTCTTACTATAGAAAAATTTAAGTAAGCTAAAAAAAGACATTGGAAACGATTAGATTGTCAGTTTCGATTTCAATATCGTTCATATCTGTAAAAATAAATTGTTAATATTATAAATATAATAATAATTATCGATAAGTATTTTAACGTAGCGCAAAACCTTCTATACTATAAAACTCTTTATGCTGCGCAGTTCTTACGTGCTCTTACGTAAAGTTTATATGTAAATCCGGCCATTCAATGTGTGAGTATATTAAATTCCAATTAAAATTCTGTTAGAGCTAGTATTCTTAATCAATATTTATTTGCACAAAAAGTCTTCCATTTTCAACGACCAATTGAACAAAACTGGCAAGAGTATTTTGACATCTTCTGAAAGAAGATATCGATTCCAACTTGACTAGAAAATCTCGGACAGAGCCAGTGATTCCACGAGACGAATCTATCGTATTCGTTTACTTACAGATAGCTTTGAGAAGTTAATACTTAACGTACTTGTAATGACGCGCTTTGGAATTTATTCACGAAGTTCTCGAGAAAATCGTCAAAATGGTAAACTGTGAGCTGTAAGATGAGAGGCAACGAGAGTTTGATTAATCTTGCAAACAGTCAGATGCAATTAGTACATTCATTACAGGAACACTCTAATGACCTTAATCTTGATTTCATGACCCTGACAATATTCAAGAGCTTTTAGTCGTTATTCAGACACCTGAGATAATGCTGGCAGAATTATAAATTTCAAATCTTGTAACTTGAAATATACTTAACAAAAAAAAAATAATTTAACTTGTCTTTATATGACCTCGCAGACTTCATTCAAAATCAACTCTTTACCGTTAGATAAATTTTTTAAATCCTATAACTTTGCTTCTCTTTTGCTACATATTTTTCACATTTTTTTAGAATTGATCATTTTCGAGATATTTTAGCGTTTTTGGACTTTTTAAGGATGTGTAAAATGTACAATAAAATAATGTAGAAAAATACAAAAGAATAGAAGAAAGGGACGTGACGAAAATATCTAATACAAAAGCACCAGAAAGGTGTTAATTTACTTTATCGCAGATTAAAAACGTACGATTCAGACACGATTAAGATTTCGAGAGAACTAAAAAGCTATCAGTTCGCAAATTTTTTCACTATTCACTATTGTGAATAATATGAAATACTTATATCAATTTATCACTTCGAGTTTGATAAAATATTTCCCTGCCACTCCACTTCCTTCGCCGTCATCGTCCTTCTAGTATTCCGCAGTATTCCGTATCTGGAATTACATATTCGGGGAAATTCTATCCTGATGTCCTCTGATTCCTCCGAGTATCCTATCCTCGTGCTCGACGGGATTGATCCTGTCCATGCCTTCGACCTCCACGTCCGGCGACTCGCGCCGACCTGGTCGGTGCAACTCGTACTCTGACATCGGGATTGTAACATTTACGACAAAATAAGACACGTGGAGTGGAGAAAATAAATTGAGCCCCACATGATTTCATATAATTACATCTGCGTATTTCGTCCTCCTATCTCCTTAAAACGGCGTCTACAGTGAGACTTAAGACTTAAGATTTTAGAAAATTGACAAATTATAGTGAAGTATTCATCTTACGTGAAAAGAATAATCGATTGTGATTGGTCAATTTTCTTAAATCTTGAGTTTTAAGACTTATTATAGACGCCGCTTAATAAAGAATAGAGTGAGACGACTTTCCACACCTACCGCTGCCCTCGTCACTGCGTCGCTCGACGCCGCAACAATCCGCGCGTATGATCGCTTTCCGTGTAACCGTATTAGTAATGCTTATTTAATCGAATTTTTCCCAAGGACATAGATCACGTGAGCTGGCAATGTTACAAGTATGACGCAATTGAGGAACAAGTGGGAAAATGTTTGCAGAGTTAGAAAGTAACGCGTTTCTTGTAATCGTCACCGTTTTCGTTATTTTTTTTTTCAGTAACGGTAACGTTATATTTTTAAATAATGGTAACAAATTTGCCGTTACCTTTTATACTTTTATTATCTTATTTTAATAATTTTTAATTGATTTTTTAAACAAATATTTTGTACTCTATTATATCTCGACTGCTGGGTAGGTTTTATAAGCGCGTTCGGAGAGCACGTTATCAGCGCTATTGCGTCATTTATTTTGTTTATCATTCTTTAGATATAAAACAAGGATAGAATGACGCAATAGCGTTGACTATCTCGAGGAGAGATTGAAGGCGCAAAATCCAATGGAGTAACATAACAAAAACCCCCTCATCAAGTTTTTCTCGCGAATGTGCCGGAATCATGCACATTATATGTCGTTATATATTGCATATCACGCAACGTGATTTTCAGCACTGGCGGCGAAAAGCGCAACGCAAAATATTACAGCACAAAATAGATGGCTCAGGATTCTCAAAACGCTGGTGTGAACACGTGTGTGTGCGCGCGCTAATAATCGACACATGCCAAAACTTGAAAAAAAAGTGTTTATGCTGATGGTGTCTTTTTCTAAGAAATCATAAGAAATATTGATGTATGCCGCAATCGAGTGGTTCAATTGTTTATCTGTTATGATAGAGGCGAATACGAAGAAATTCATTTTCATCATATTGATATACATATATTGATCTGGTTCGATAAACTATGTAGTCTGAACCGAACGCGAAAATCTGGATGGATTTATACATATAGCAGATTCGAAATAGAATCAAGATTTTTAGAAATAAGCCCTCAGAGGATGTTCAGGGTAAAAGTTTTAATTCATACAAAATTCTCTTTTAAAAAAGATAAAAAAATGACATTAAATACATATCTATTATATGTATTCTTCCTACATAAAATTTGATACTACCGTATCTTTCGATTTTACTGACATGCAACTGCAAATTGGCGCTAGTTTTTTACATCAAATCTTTTGTAGGAAGGATACTTGGCGTTGTTTTTTTTTAAAGATAATTTAATTTGGATGGATATTACATTTTTTTTTTTTAGTAACTTTCATTATAGAGTAAGAGTATGTTAGACCGTGTGTTGGAACGTGTCGAGATGTTTCGGGGTGTATTAAGCCATTAAGGAGTTTGAAGTGAGGGTGGAAGGAGTAGAGATGGGGGTGATGTGGGTGAATAAAGTGTGGTACGTGGACTATATCAACACGTGCCGGGTTGAACTGAAGTCTTTGTTGTGGATAGGAGGGTTAGGGGGAGGATGGAAGGAGTTTAGGTAAATAGCGTAGGTGGAGATGAGTATAGGTGTGTAGGATACTTGAGGATTTGTGTAAGCGTATTAAAAGTTGATGTACAACCGAAAATACGAGACGATGTTTCTTAAACATAATTAAAATTTGAAATTTTTTTACATAAATAAGTTTCATTCTTACATAAAAGCTCCATTTTTACATAAAAATTTAAAAATCTTTCTTAATATTCAACGTAGAAAAAAATTAAGACTTTTATTATGTATAATATGATCTTAAGCAATCGACTAATTGTAAGCCTATTAAAAATTTCATTCACTTATCCGTTTTTTTAAATATGATCATTATGCCGTCGCTTAACTCAACGGTCCCAGTAAAGCTGTACGGATCGATCTTATTGCTCATGTAAAGACGCGTATATTTGGCGTAAGACATTACCATGTCTCTTGATACACGCATAAAAATAGTTAAAATATATTTCACGATATATTTCATATTTAATTATATTTCACGATATTGCGCCAAAATAGACTCGTGTAAATCATGACATTCATTCCCTGTGTATTCATTTTTCACTATTTTAACGTCGGTGAGAACGGTGATAAATGAAGACGTGCTACTTTTAACGTCATTTTGATTATTCACAATCGGTTCTTATTATATATCTAATTTAAGATTATTTTACATTTTACAATTTTAAGATGTTATGTGCCAATCACAGAACCGCATTATCAAGATATGAGATTATCTCAATTAACATAAGAACGAAATATAAATATTGGCTTTCAAAATGCTATTAAAAGCCATTGAAGAACTGCTTGAAAAAGATAATTTCAAACGAATAGGCAGACAAAAAAATTATCTACATTCTATAGCTTTTATATTTTATATTACTATTACATTATAGATCGGAGAGAATTACTGTTGTCATTAATAAGTTAAGAAATGATTTAAAGTAAAAAAAATTAATTATGTG